CGAGTTCGATCCTTTGACTTTTGATCAGTTGATAACAACGCATTCTAATCGTGCCAGGGCCACATCATCTGCCAGCATATCTATACATCCATCAAACCTCATATACTCTGTATCCGTTGAGTATATACGTGATTGTGAGATTCTCATAATCATCGAAATTGTCAAGAAACTCGATACCGATGCCACGTTCGTCCAGGAGCACATGTTCTACTAGGTCAGATCAATTTAATGATCTACCATCTGAGCTTTTTCACGAGATTCTGCTTTACTTGAAATCTCTGATTTTCATTCCTGATGAGGAGTTTTACTATTTCTAGCAACTAAAATACGTAGCTAGAAAATGGCACGAGTTTTATTTGTAAATTTTTAATATATACGCTTCGCACTACTGTATAACCGAGGAGCGTGATGAGAATTCCTTTCTTCTACCTAAAATATATAATTATCCTTACCAATTGAAATTCAGTGCTAAAACGCGAAAATATTTCATTTTGGTCAAATTTGTCAGCGATACATGTCACGACGCAAGCTTTACCCTTTCAATTATCGACGCTCGTGCTTATTTAAATTCTTCCGAAGAGCACCGCGTAGTGGGGTTCTTCTTCTCTTTCCCGTGACCGACTTACTGAATTACGGGAAATCTGAATGTTTCAACTGTGCCTCGTTTACTTACTGCATCAAATTTAACCGTTACTATCTTCATCATCAAGAGTGTGAATATGGGAATAAATATGTTTCACGAGCTTCTATCCTCACCTCCTTCAGAGGTATCGAAGATCTTCATATTCACACTCTCTGTGACGAGTACCAGTTGGTGAGAAACCATCTCACATATTTTCAGCATTAATTTTTTTTATTTTTTAAATCAAGTTTAATTTTTTATTTTAAATAAAGTTTTGGTTGCCAGTTTCCTTAGATGAAACCGGTAACCGTTTTTCATCATCATCCAACAATTATCATTCTATATTTACTAATTAAATCAACACCAATATGTATAAATCAACAACTTCTATAATTTTTGTGATTTTACCTATATTTAAAAAAACTATATAAACCTCATTTTTTTTAATTTAAAATTAAAGTGTTTTATTCAGGTAAGAGAAGGATCCCAACTTGTATGATATTTAAAATTATTTCATTTATTATACTAACTCTTATTTGGCCCCATAGCTTATATCCTACTATACTGATTGCCGTACCTGACGCTCGCCACTTGGGCACACTTTCAGTTTTTTTTCTTAAAAATGCCACAATCATCTAAATATTTCTATGCTGTTCTGATTGGTTGTGTGCCAGGTGTCTATTATACTTGGATACAGTGTAAAGAACAAGTGAACGGCTATCCCTTTGCTTATTATAAAAAGTGTTTAACTTCTGAAACAGCAATTCAAATTTTTACTAATCATCAATTAAAAAAGAAACAAAAGGAAGAAATCTTAAGATCTAATGATAAAATTGTTATTTATACAGATGGTTGTTGTAAAACTAATGACAAGAGGTGTTTTGCCGGAATTGGGATTTATTACAAGGATGGAAGTAAACAAATCACCGAGTCATTACCAGGTTCATTACAGGATAACAATCGTGCGAAAATTTACGCGGTAGTTCGTGCTCTTGAAACATGCAAAAATCGAAAAAAGGTACTTGAGATTAGGACCGATAGCAGAAATGTGGTTAACGCGTTTGAAAGTTAGATCAACATATGGAAAATGCATGATTGGAAAACATCACGTAATGTGGTTGTTAAGAACAAGGATCTTTTTGAGAGAATTGATATTTTAACTTCTAACAGAATTGGCAAGGTTTACTTTACCTATATTCCGGGGCATAAAGGTGTGATCGAGAATAAAAATGCTGATAGATTGGCTAAAAAAGGTGCAACAATTAGCATGCATGAAAAGAAAAAATTATTACCGTATAATAGTTTTATGAAATTCAATCTCCCAATAATTAAAAGGAATAATTCAGAATTAGATTATAACGCAGCAGTTAAATTAGTAGTATCCATGTGGAAAGATACGATTAACAATCCAAAAAATGATTTTACCAAATATTTGTAATCAATATTTTTTATGCTGTATATATATTTTTATTCAAATAAATCTTTATGCGTACATTTAATTTAAACTTGTAAACAGTAACTTGTAAACAGTAAATTGAACGAGATAGGCATTAATTTCGTGGCCTGAAAGGCGACGAAATTCATGCCATCGAAATGGGTCAACTTTGTGAGATATGCCGTGAAATGAGATAAGCATTAATTTCGTGGCCTGAAAGGCGACGAAATTCATGCCATCGAGGCGTCAGGGCATATCGTAACAAATGTTGCTGCGGAAAAAAAGCTTTGACACTTTCGCTGAAAGTGTGCCAAGCGGCGAGCGTTGGGCAGCAAATTCAGTATAGTAGGATATAAGCCGTAGACGCCAAATGTCGAGTTTGCAGGCTGGGGCTTATAGCGAACTCGACTACAATATTTTTTAAGATTTAATTCTATATTAATACATATGTATTTTAATTTGTATAAATTATTATTTTTTTTATTTTATTTTTATAATATTTTTAAAAAATATTGGATAGTACAACAGTTTTTTTTAAAAATTTGATTTGATAATAAATGTTTTTGTTATCGAATTTAAAAGAGTATTTTTTGAGTGTTCAGAGCTAAGTTTGAATGAACATTTTGAACAGAAAATATGCTGGCAATAAGTATTTTTTATATCCAAGTTTGTAAAATTAAATGGATCTTCAAAAGAAAATGGTTTCTGCTTACAATTTATAATTTTACAGTATGGAATCATTGTACCGCATTCGAACGAAAAATCTATTTTAGTACATCTTTCGCAAAAATTTTTTTGTATCTCATTTTTAAATTTTTTTTCATAAATGTAAACAAACTTATTTCGTAGTTTACAATATGGAATATTAAACTTGTTATATAAAATTTTACATTTTTGCATTGTGGTTGTTCTTTTGCCTTTTAAATATACAAATCCATTTTGAATATGATCAATTTCGTAAAATAGCAACTCTTGATTTAATTTTTGATCTTTTTTATACAATCGGAAGAAAATATGTTTTTCTTCTTGTTCTCAAGCTTCTAATATAAAGATCGTGAAATTTTCGACAAGTTGATTTAATTTTTTCTCTTTGTTTTGGGGACAATATTTCAAATATGTATAGTAAAATATCATCATTGAGGTTTTCCATTTTTTGTTTTATTTTTAATTCATTTTACCTTTTTATATTTTTTATTTTGTTGATTCCTTGTTTTAATTTGGTAATCAGTCGAATGATATTAATTACACTTATTTCAAGTATGTTGGGTTTAAAGTATAAGTTATATGTATTTATTATAATAAATAAAAAAACAAAATCATTACATGATTAATTTTGTTTTTACAATTTGATTGTTTTGTGTCAATTTCATTTCTTCTGTAGCAAAATTGATTAAGGCTTGATATCTTTTTAGAAAATTACAACCTACTAATCCATTACTTGTTCTACCAAGTTGAAAAGTAATTGGAAATTTTACACCATTAAATTCGATAGAAGTTTCGCAAAAATATTGCATAGCAACTTTACTACCAATACCTTGTGTGTATCTGATTTTATCGAATTTTTTAAAGATTAAGTTTAAAGATTTGGCTTTTTCTTCAGACATAAAACTCATTCCATCACAACCACTATCGATTTTAATTTTATAATTTATATTATTAATTTTAACATTACATTTACAAGTAAAAAAACCTCGTTTATTTAAAGTTGAGACGTGTTGAAATTCATTTTTAAGTTTTTCATTCATTATATTTAGTTTTTGATTGGTTAAGGTAAGGTTATTAATTTCTTCTATTGCTTTGTTGTAATCGTCTTTGATATCAGAGAGTTGGGCTTCAGTTTCTTTTTATTTTTTTTTGTATTTTTTTGCCTTTTCTTTATAATGTTCGAGGGTTTCTTCTAATTCAGCAATATAAGTTTCATTATTTTCATCACTACTATTTTCATCGCTATTTTCGTCATCATCTTCATTGTTATATACTTCATAATCATTACTTCTAAAATAATATTCAGACATGGTTGAAGATTTTTTGGCCGTGTTAAAAAATACAACAAAAAATATCGGCGATTCCTGAAAGGAATCACTTACACATTTGTTTGATTTATATTGTTTTATGTATACATTAAAATTTTTGTAAGAACTATAATACATGCATGAGAATGTTTAACATCATGTATAATGCATATTCAAACACCATCCAGCCAATATGCATATTACCCCAACCAACTAAACCTGCAACAACTAGAAGATGCAGCCTCTTATCAAATCGGTAAATATTTTTTAGTGCATCAATTTCTAGCGGTATGATAATGGAAGTTATTATAAATGTACATATTGAATGATAAGGTTTAGATTGTAGAGATAAAGACAAGGATTATGAATAGTCTGTTTTGTTAGTTAACTGTCAAATATGCTTTGGTATATTTTTATTTATTATAATAAATAAAAAAAAACAAAAAAATTACATAGTTTACAATTTGATTGTTTTGTGTAAATATTATTTTTTATATCCAAATGCTTGCACCCAAATATCATTTTTGAATGCGGCACCAAAATAAATATAATCTTCACTAATAATTTGTCTTTTATGTCCTTCTGATGTCATCCAACCTTGAATGGCTTCTTTTTCATTTTTAAAAGAATGACCAAGATTTTCTACCCAATATATACCAGGAATTTTTTTACGCGCGTCATCAATATGATCATAAATTTTTTTCTATCCAAATAATTAATATATTCTTCTGTGGCTTCTACTAATTGACTAAAAAAAAATTAAAATATATTTTAAAATCAATTAATAAATAAATAACTTACTTATTTAATACAAGTTTTTTAAGGCCAAGTTTTATTCGTTCTTCATTAGTATATTTTAATAAAAGATTAATATTAATGTCTTCTTTAGCATGACGTTGACCAAAAATTAATACCCAATGTTTGTTTTTAAAAGAGGCACCAAAATAATTATATTTTTTATCTAATAAAATTTTTTTATGTTCATTTGTTTTTAATA